GTGGGTGGGTCCGCGGGGTGGGAAGACTACTGGAAGGTATTGAGCCAATGCTTATAGTGTGCGGCGAAGTACCCCGATCAACTAGTATCACGGGAATTTGACTCTCAGCTCTCAGCGCTAAGGGAGCAGCGGGCCAATTCACCCTTCTCTCAAGTCCGCATGTTAAGCGTTCCCACTCTCAGCGCGAACGCGCCAACACCGCTTGACTCCTCCTTACAAGACGCAGCGAACAAAGTCTTCCCAACCCAGACCCGTTGCCGCGGAATCGAGATTGGACGCGTTCGGGCCAGGCGAGCAGCTATAACCATGCGTGAAAAACTGGATCAACACGCGACCAGACTTTATGCTACAGCCTTGGGAGCATGTGCAGCGGTCGTCTCACATCAATATCGAAGCACGCCTGAGTTCTCACTGATGTAAAAAAAAAGTACGGAGTACCGCGTTGCATACCTCCTTTCGGCTGCTTTCTTTCCGGTGATTTCTTCCTTGACCAAAGAAAACATCGCACAACTCCCAACCCCTTGCCTACACTGGCGTAGAGATGGCTCATGGGCAAAAAAGCTCGGTCCCGGCACCCTGTGTTTAGCCCATTGAGACAAATGACTCACCGCGCGCGTCCAGAAGTCTGTTGAGGGTACCCTCCCCGTGTGGGCAGCGTGGAGGATGAATGACGCAACGCACGCCAATTTGTGTTCCGGCTGCCTCCCGGTGTGCGTGGCGTGGCGTAAAAATAATGGAGATGGTCTATCCTCCGCCACTACAAAGCACCTCTCCCACAGCAGTCTCTGCGCAATGACGGTGGGTTCTCTCGCTCTCTCTGCTGTTGTGGATTGCGGTAGGGTAATCGTGGGGTGGGACTCGGCATCAAACACTCCAAGGGTATGTTAGTAAGGCATCTACTAAAACTACTCGCAGGTATTTACTCGGCATTTTACCCAACTCTGCTCAAAAGTAGGTTTAGTATAGGTCACGATACTCTACTCTACTCAAGCTTTAGTCGAGTTCACGATACCTACTCTGCTCAATACGTTTAGTGGATATCCCCATACTCTACTCTTCTCACCAAGTAGTAGGTATAGTACGACTTCTCAACTCTACGGTACCTACTAGTAGGTTCGGTACTATCGCTCGGGTTCACTCGGGTTCTACGCGACGCCGGGCCAAAGGGCTTGTTGGTGACGTCATAGTTCGGCAGGATTCCCGCAAAAGTTCGATGGCATGAGCGAAGACCTCATGCGAGCAGAGATGGCGCTTGGCCCGCTTCCAAATGAAAGGGCTCCCATGGAGGATGATATTGACCTAGATCCACTCTACATTTTGAAAGCGATAAGTTAGGACAGTAGTGCCACGGTGCTGGGGTTTTCATTTTTCGACTTGACAAGGTGCTAAAGATACTTTACCTTCCTGAACACACACTTGAAAACACTCTTTTTCTTTTTTGCGGTACGTCAAATTTTTACGTTGAAGCCTTTGGAGTTTGTGTGCGGTGGTCATTTCCGAGCAAAATCGAAGAACTCCGGCGGAGTTCAACTCACGGCATCGTTGTCACACACGTTTGAGCTGCGCATTATTCTTGCGGATTAACGATGCAGCAAAAAAGAACGGAGTTGTTGCTGATTTACAAAAATAGTTACGATGCGAGCACGACATCGCACACCTCCCTTCGGCTTCTACACTGTTTTCGGTGCATCTTCTTCCTACCCCTGACAAAAATAAGTTGCTTCGCCTTGTGAGTTCTAGTCTAAAGTGGTCTCAGCACCCTGAGACTGCTAGTCTAGTGAGACCATCTCTCACCGCGCGCGCGCAGCAGTCTGTTGAGGCTACCCTCCCCGTGTGCGCAGCGTTGCGGACAAATGCGGCAACGCACAACAAGTCCTGTTCCGTTCCAACCCCGTGTGCGTAGCGTGGCGGAAACACAAAGGAGATGGTCCGTCCCCCGCCGAACTACGAAGCACCTCTCTCACAGCGGTCTCTACTCGATGTAGTAAAGTAGTTGTCCACACTCTCTGCTGTTAAATGAGGGCTGAGCCGGGGCTCCGCAAAAGGGATCCCATATACCCAATGTTCAGCGAAAAAAGCGCTCACGGAACACAGTCGCGATTGTCGTGAGGATTTGGTCGACGCTGAACTGGAGGGAGGGATGAAATAAGAGAGTGTGTGGGTGATTGTGGGGTGGTTCTAATGGTTGTGGCTCGGAGCCAATTGGGTCTGTTGATGGGACAGGTGCGATAAGCATCAAATACGTCGACACACAGTTGGCATGTGTACATGTGTGTTATGATACCGTAGTCTCTCGCCTGCAGCTGGCGTGCACAGCAACCTCCTTTTCTCTCTTGAATGTGAACCCTTTTCTTTACGTTCCTGCCAAATTGCAATTGATGCCTCTCTCATCCAGCGTAGCCGATAAGCGCTTGGCTGGCAGTCGAACAAGCCTAAGCGCGCCCTCACCCGCCCCCACACTGAACATCGGCAGCACCGGCACCACGTGTACCGGCGATGGATGCAGCCCCAGATGACTTGTACGTCGTCGGAAGTGAGCGGTAAAAAAGGGGAGTTTTTGATCTGGTTTCTGGTTGGTTGCATAAAGCGATCATTTTCTCATTTGAAAGACGTGGGGGAATCGCGAACATGGATGGGGGGATTGGTGGGAACATTAAAGGGTCAAACAAGGGGGGGGAAGATAGTCTTTACCTTCTCTATGGCGGAAAGAAAGGCATCTTTCAAGCTTTCAAACAGAGTGGAAGTGATTCACCCCACGAAAGTTTGGGTGGAAAAAAGGGCCATTTGAATGGCCACACACAAGACATGTATTGAAATTGCGCCCTTAAAAAAATGTAGACAATTCTTTGGTTTGTACGGAAATGTGAACGTTTCTAAAATATTTGACGTCCTAAAAATGTCAATTAGCCGTTTGTAGCCGCTTCCTCATTCAAAAGGCGCCACCGAGCTTCGCGCAGCAGATACGACTAGGAGGTGTACAGAGTTGTGTGCATTCCGCGCGTCACGTGGCCACGGTACCGTGAACCTCATACAAAGTTGTGTGCATTCCGCGTGTGACGTGGCCATGGTACCGTGAACCCCATATCAATATCAGCATGAAGGTATTTTCTCATTTTATCTCCGGACGGGTGGCTCTCGTACCAGAGGCCAAAAAGTTGAAAGTATTTCCTCTCTTGAGACACCGACGAATATCTGGATACTTTCAACACGGGACGTGTCTGCCCCGCATGTTTATGTCTCCCAGGTCTGACAAGTGCGAGTGTACGTGATAATAGATGAGGCCATTGGAGTCTTCTGGCCAAGTGTGGAAGCTCTCGCTGCCGTCCGTCCACGGTTTCCCCTGGAGGATCAGCCCTCCGTAAACAGCGTGCACGTCACGCCAAGAGTTGCTCACTGATATATTTGATCTTGCCACAAGCATCATCGTGCAATCTTGCCATTCTCGGCACTCATGTACCATGCACACTGTACATGGGTATCCTTGATATTGCCATAAGCAGCGTCGTGAACCGTCGTCCGGATCACGCGGCTCGTCGTTCGTTGATCGGCGCACCCACGCGCCGCCCGCGTTGACACTCAGCACTATGTGCAAAAATGCGACTGAAAAGCATCGACTGATCCACACATTCACCTACGCGCGACATCTTCGCAACCAAAAGCTGTGCATGAACCTCCCGACAACCGCATGTTGCCGCGGAGGCGCCTCCATATCTCTGGTGTCCGCCTCGAGGGTGGCCCAAGCCTCTTCGATGCGATCCTGACGTGTTTGCATTCAATGCCGTTGGCGGCTCGCTTGGCCCTACCGTACTCTACCTCGACCGACAGACTCAACCCCTCCTCTTACTTCTCCTGACTTGCGCCTGCTTACCCCGCTCCCACTCGGGCGGAAAGCTGGAATAGCGAATTCTTAGTTCTTCTCCTCGTGCGTGTTGAAGAGTCAAGAGTGAGCACGTGTACCAGTTTGTAATCACCGCCTGTCCAGCTTGCGTTGGTTCATACCAGTCAGGAACTGCCACTTCGCTGAAACGTAGCTCCGCATTAGGCGAGCTGCAGTGATTTAGAAGACGAATCACCCTACTTCCCATGTCTTCCAGGCACCCCATCAAGTTGCCTCGGAAAATAGCACCTGGGTCGATGTACACTACCCCGCTCTTATCAGCATGCATCACGCGATAGGTGCAGTCGTATTTTTCTATCCGAAAACAATCGTTGAATTCGGAGCTAGGCAACATCGATGTGTGCACTGTTTTGCCTTTGCGCCCGCCTCGCTTGAGAACGCCCCTTGGCATTCAATCTGGCTTGGCCTCTCGTCCAATTCAAAATGCTCCTCTAGCCACACAAAGGGCACCTCATTATGCATAGATCGAAAGTCAAGGCCGCCATTTCTCTCGGTTGATCCTATTCTTGAGCTTTCTCCCTACAGCGGCGTGCCAACCTCACTCGTTGGGCCTGGATTGGTACTTCTCATTCTCCCTCAAAGCACGTTCGATGCCAGCCTTTACTTCACCTAGCACCTTTTGTAGCTTCTCGGTTGCCTGCCAACCAAAATATACACACAAGGGGGTTAACTCGCTCCATGATGCCGCCATGTGCTACTCTGTCTATGTAGGGGACGAGCAACTTGTGGTGCAGACGCCGCCAACCACACCTCTTGTGCCTTCCGACCTCTTTCCTCGGCGGCATCTCTTGCCGTGACTGCGTCCTCTGCTTTCCTCCTTTCGATCTCAACTTGTTTTCTCTCTCGCGCCAACGCCTCTTGGGTGGCCGCCAGCTGTCGGAACCGTGGCCGTGTCGCGCGGGGAGGGGGAAAGGGGGAAGGGGGGAGAGCGAGCATGACCTGTGGGCAACGGTGTGACTGGTGTTCATGCAGCACTTTTGGTGCTAAATCACACACACATTCTCGTTCTCAAGCCGCTCACTCACCCAATCAGGCTGTTCCACCGCAGTCAGATAGCCTGACATGTCGGCGTCAGGAATCACAACACCATGGTCCCCGCCGCTCTGCCCCCTGGCTCCACCGGAGCCTGCCGCCGCGAGAAAAGCAGCTTTCGCGACGTCCAACACACCGCCAACAGCTGCTGTCGTCAAAGCCTTTTCAGCCCACACAGATAGTTGCAACGCTGATACGATCATTTGCCCTTTAGGGCCTGTCATTCCGCTTTCTCCGTGTGGCTGGCAGTGGGTACGTTTTCCTCCGTGTCCGTAGTTGGCCGTTGAAGTACAACCCGAAAGAGCACACACCTTAGCTGCAGATTGATCATGTCATCCTCTGCGTGGCGAAAACATAGCGTTTTCTGTCTGCGAGTCGAAACCCAAAAGAGGGGCGCTTCTCACACCCACTGTGCTCGCATATTTTGGATTTAACACTGGTTATGCCTTCCGTCTTATATTGCTGACACACCACTGCTGTCGACTTCCCGCTTGCGCCTGCAGGAACCGACGGGCAGGACAGGGTACGATGGAAAAAATGCGGCGCATTTAGAGTACGTGCACAGAAATACTTCTGCAGATGTTCACTGCTGCGCCGCGTAAAACAAACAAGGGCGTTGAGAGGAGGGGGCCGTGCTACCTTTGCGACGCTCACCCTGTGTCTCTTGCCTTCCCCGCTACACACAGAGGAGCAGTATACACAGCAGGAGCAGCATCAGCGGAACAGTACTGCTCCTATGATCCGCCTTTACACAGTACTTGTCCACACGGCGCGTTCAGACTACGCGCAGATGTTCAACTGCTGTGCCGCATAAAGCAAGCCAGGGCGTTGAGAGGCGGGGGCGTGCTACCATGCTACCTTTTGTGACGCTCACCCTGTGTCTCTGGCCTTCGCCGCTACACAGGAGCAGAGTAATGCTGTATTTGGTCCGCTACTTTCATCTGTGCTCGTCCAGACAATCTGCAACGAGACCTAGCAAACTCTTCACCTTTGTAGCGAGAGGATCCATGCTTGTTGCACACATGACAGCGCAGCTCCCTCATGGCGTAGTGCGTGGTGTGCTTAGAAGTGCCAACTTGAGGAAAATACACCGGGAGTAACTCATAGGGGGTTCCGCGGTTCGATACGTGCAGCGGCTTCTCATATACTCCTCTTTTTATAGGGGGTCGTGCAGCGAAACGCGCCGTTCGAACGCAGACCGCGACAAATTGCACCGCTCGATGCAGGGCCTTGTGAACAGCAAGCACGCCACCCCCTGTAGAGACTTGTGTTCACACACACATACACACACACACACACGTTTGCTTTGTCACCAAACCTCGGTGTATCGGGTGCAGAGTGTGCAACGATTTTCGCGACAGCAGTCTCTCCGCATTTTTGTTGCTCTGAGCCACCGGCTTCAACAGACCGACACGAATCGCGCCGCAAGCCAATCACGGTACGGGCTTGCGCGGCCTCTGTCTTTCAGAGGCTTGTGCCCGCACACACATCTGCTGTCTTACCAAACCTCGGTACATCGGGGGCATAGGCAATGATTTTTGCTGCGCTGCTGTACAAACGCAGTCTCTCCGCATTTTGCTGCGTGCGCTGAGTTACAGTACGTGCTTCGATAGACCACTGTGGATCAGACAGCAAACGTAGCGTCACACGCACTGGGAGGGAGCACTCTTCTGTTTGCTTAGAAGCCATGAAAGCCGGGTGCTGCTGGACGTACAGCAGAATTTCGGTTATACAAGAACTCCGTATTCTGTTGACCTACGGCTCTCTCGTTTGTAACCGTCATCGCATCATCTCAGCGAAGATTTGTGGCAGATCAACATGCGTTCCAGTTGAGAACAGAAATGGATGGGTGCAAGTATTCGAAGTGCAATAAAAAACGGCTAAACCAGCGTTGGGTACAATCGTGTGCCGTTGATACCACACCGACCAGAAACCCCGATAAGCGCGTCGCTGGCAATCGGAAAATCACGGATTTTTCGCGAAGCTCGAGCGCGCCAGAGTTGCGTAGATGGCGGTGGGTGTCTCTTGCTTCCCCCCGCCGCCCCGCCTTGAAATACGGCACTACGTGCAAAAATGACGGAAAACCTTGCTCTTCCACACCAGAAATACAGGCGCTGGAGCCCTAGAGGCGGGAGAGGAGGGCGATGCCAGCCGGGGATTCAAGTAGCACACAATGCCGTTTTTCGCTTAGGGGGAGGAGGGTATGTGTTTCAGGCGCGCGAGTTGAGAGCAAGAGGCGGCTTTCAGGAGGGAAGAGGCCCTTGTTGGGGAGTAGAGGTGGCTGAAAGACAATTTGTAGCTTCTTGTTCAGAGAATGTCCGCAGCTGGGCAGGTTGGTACCAAGTACGACCCTGGTTCCGGTGCGGTTGTGTCACGATGCCGTTGGGTGCAATTGCTTGTTGTCTTCACAACAAAACCGTTCCGATCTCCGCTGACTGTCGACAGGACACGCCTTCCGTGGGCGCAGCTGCATATATCTACCCAAATTCGACAAGTAAATCGCAGGAAAACTCACAATACAATGTCTAGCCAAATGTTGAACAGTGGCACCCTCCTCCCCCTTGCTGCCCCGCGTTGACTCTCGGCACTAGCTGCAAATCTGCGACTGAATGCTGCGACACCCCGTGCTCGTCCGAACCCGAAAAACAGACGCTGGAGCCCTCGCGGCAGGAGAGGAGGGCGATGCGAGCCGGGGATTCAAATAGCATACATTGCCGTTTTTCGCCCAGGTGGGAAGGGCACGTTTTTTCGTTGCGCGAGTTGAGAGTCTTCTTTTTTCTTTCGGCGGGGAAATGTTTTTTTGCGAGAGCAGACCGAAGGACGATTTGGAGTTTGTTGCTAGATTCAGCGAGAAGGAGACGCGGTTGAGACACTGGGCAGATTCGCTTTGTATTTAGTGCCAGGTACGACGCCGGCTACGGTCGTTGGTGTGTTGTGTTATGATGGCATTTGGTGCAAATTGCTTGTTGTCGTCACATTAAACCCATTCATGTGCCCAAATCCGACAAGGAAAATCACACACCAATTTCTGTTCCCGGGCGGATGTTCGCCAGCCTCGTCAGCCCCCACTGCAACCACAACGAACTTTTCGACAATAACCAAAGGCGAGCGCCCCCACCCAACGTGGCTTCCACCACTTCAATCGGAATCGAAGCAGACGTGCGGTTTGTGCCGGTGTAGGACGCCGCGCGAACATGACACGGTATACAGGAGAAGGAGCACGAACACCTCTTGTAGCACTAGCTAGGTCCCTTCTTGGCCTCTCGATCTCCAGCGCTCGTCTGAACAACGCTTCCGCCTCCCCCGGCCGCCCCGTCATCCGTACACAAAGATCAAGCTGGCGCAGCTTCCAGGCAACGCCTCGATCATCACCCCCCAACTTGGATTCCTTGATCTCCAGCGCTCACCTAAACAACCCTTCCGTCTCCCCCGGCCGCCCCGCCTCCCGCTCACACCTGTCCAACGAGGAAAGAAATCGTCGGCCCCCAACTTGGCCTACTCGATCTCCAGCGCTCGCCAAAACAACGCTCCCGCCTCCTTCATGATTTCTACTAGTTCGCCCAACCTTTGATGGTGACAGTACAATGGGTGACAACATGAACAGTAAGAATCTTCGAACGATCCGAGGTCTCCATTTGGGCAAAGCGATCGTCGTACGGCCGAGAGTCAAACCACCCCCCCCCCAACATTTACCAACGCCCGCCACATGCGTACCGGCGCGTACACGTCTATCCCGATCGCAAAGTCCGAATGAGATAGATGTCTAGTCCACCTTTCCACGGCTGGCTCGCGAACATGTCCCCGACCCATGAGCTCGCCCCTTGCGAAGTCCGCGTGGGCGTCGTGCATGCGGTACTTGTCTGATGCATCCGCTTTCAGAACACCCCACCCCTCCAAAATTGATCTGGGTTTCGTCGCGACCAATCCATCACCAAGAAGCACCGCCGCGTCCGATTCTCCAGAGTCGTTGCCGTCGGAGGAACACCGTTAGCGCTACATACAATATATCCTGCCCTAGGTACTCGAAGGCGGTGCGCAGAACCGCATGTCTGTTGTCGTCCCCTCGTCGTCAAACCCTCCACCTTGGGCCTTAATCTTTTCCACGACACGTGCGCACGCACCCTCCTTGCGCTTGGTTTCGACATGACTCCAGCTTCACACGAATGCGATGCCTATCGCACACGATGAATCGCGGCGTCACACAAACGCTCACCGGGCGGCAGCTCAACCGCACCGCGAAAAATGTCCTCGGCCTCCGCCTCCGCCTTTGTCAGTTAGTCCATGACAACCCTCTCTTTGGCTTCAACATCCACCATCGAGTCGGGTCGAGCGGTCAGTAGCACCCACATGCCCGTCTCTCTCAGCTTCTGCACTCAGCTTCTGGACCGCTTCTTACTCCCACACGTCGTCGGCCACCACAAGGCACCGCAGCTTCTCCTGTGACACGATCTTATTGGCATGGCCCTCGCGCCCACCATGGCGGCGCCTAACCCTAACCGCCCAGCTCCATCCCGTCAGTGCCGCCATCGCTGACCCTCCGTCGCCACCGAGAACCTTGCACACTCTCTCTACCACCCCATCGCGCACAACGTGACATGCCTTGGTGATGGGAGCCTTTTTCGGCACCGGTGCCAGCTTGGACCGTGGACGGGCCTGTGCAGAATTGGTGGGGCGGAAAACGGAGGAGGTGTGCAAGACGTGAGCGGCAGGACAAGAACCGGTAGTACTGCGTCTGTAGCTTGAATTTGAAACGCAATATTTTTGTTTAAGACGATTTTACATGAATGGCTAACCCTATCGGATAACTACCCTGGTGACTGTACCAACTGCCATTTACAATGCACGAGAGCCCGTGCGACCCGAGTCGCCACACACCGCTGAGGTGCATGTTATCCGAACGTTCGCATCGATATATTTTCTATTATCCACCCGTTCCACAGGAGGACGGTGTATCGCGCTGCGTGGTTGACCTGCTCGACCAATATCGGGTGGACGACCAAAGTGTAGAGGCGGAGCTGGAGGCGGAGCTGGAGACGGCCGCAGCAGCAACGACGGGTGAGGAGCAGGAAGGAAAGGGGGAAGCGTCGAGGCAGGCATCAGCGGTGGCACACGGTGATGGGTGTATTTCGAGCATTAGCGGCAGCGGCAGCGGCAGCAGCGGCGGCGGTGGGAGCAGCAGCGGCGGTGAGAGCGAAGGCGATGAGAGCGCAAGGGCATCGGGGTCGGAAGCAGGAGAAGCAGCAGCACGAGAAGCAACCGCCGAGAAGACGAGCGGGGGTGGGAGCGTGGGCGGGTCTTCCACCGCTGCCAAGGGGAAAGTAAAAAAGAAAAGCGGGGGAGCAGGAGCAGACAGGTGGCCGAGGTGGCCGAAACAAACGGCGCCGCAGCGGAGGAGCTGAGAGAAGCGCGACAAAAAGCTTCTGCCACAGGGCGCGACTCGAAGAAAGCTCGTGGGATAGGGTGGGCAGAGAAGATGTCTGACGAGCCAATGAGCCGGTAGGAGGTGTGGGGTGCTGGATTCGACGACGATGAGGCGGCTATGGACTTCGAAGATGCATGTTAGAGAGCCACGTGGAAGCCAGGGAAGAATTGGCACACGTGGAGAAGAAATTCGAGGGAAGCCTGGGAAAGAGAAAGGGAAGCCGGAAAAGGAGAAGCAGAAACAGATGAGGAAGACGTTTCATCGAACAGAGGTGCTACAATCGTGTACAGAGTAGAAGGAAGAATGTTGTGGAAAGGGACGAAGGTGTATGAGACAAATCAGAAAAGGTAAATTCTCGGCGTCTACTTGAGCACCCGTGTATTGACCGCTAACCGTCTTCTCCACTGCTTCGTGCAAATTTGACGACGTTCATCGCCACAAAACTCCAAGCGAAAAGGAGGGTGAGCGTTTTAAGAAAGCCCCTGTACAGGTGTTTCCCAGAGACACTATCCCGGTGGACTGTATCAGGAGCTGGGGTCGTAATTTCGGCTTCCATGACAAGATTAGGTGCGGCTACTGCAACGCTGGCACCGAGCTTAAAACGAGCGAGGAACAGAAGACAGAGCGTACGGACCAAGAACTGCTGATTCGAAAGATAAGGTATGTCAGACTCAGATTCAAGGGTTGTAATTCGTGGAAGGAACTTTTTTTCTGTGTTAAACGCTGACGTCGATTTGCCAGACGCCGTGTGACACCCGACCCCCTGTTTTATGTTTCAGAGCCGAGAGGGAGGGAGATGGAGATGGCGATGGCGATGGAGGGAAGTAGGGCAGCAAGAATCGATAGAAGGGGGGAAGGATGTGGGCAGAACGTGCGGAGCAAGCACTGGCGCGGAGGCCTAGGCGGAGGCGACGTGGGAGGCGGTTTTTTGGGCCTGGAAAACAGCATGACGGTGAGGTGCGTGGCATGTTTTTTGGCGGCACGCGTTCGTTTCCCTTTCTTCTGCGGCGGCGACGGCGGCAGACTGAAAAAGTAGGCTTCGTGTCAAAAATGAGTTGTGTTTATCAAACATTCCAAGTAATCACTCCAGGATTTTGAGACGTCACGGCATCTCCAACTACCGTCCCCATCCCTCTCAATAGCAGCCTTGATCTCTTCGGGAGTGGAAGCAACGACAAAATATTCATCTACGGCGGAGCTCCACGTCCGCTGCGAGCCGAAAAGTTACCGACTTTATTTGGCCAGCCCAAGCGCGCCAAAGTTGCATGAGTTTGAAGACTTGGCACTGCCCGTACCGCGCGCCCCCCAGACTATTTCACCGGCGACCAGACCCCCAAAGGACCCCCGAAAAGCGCCATCGCCAGCCAACCGTTGCTGTACCACCCTCTGTTTCGGCGCGATCAAGGGTTCCCCTTGGCTCGACTGTAACAGTTTTGCCTTGCTTGTTGGAAATTGAACAGGCGCTGGAAGCTACACCCCCGTAGCCAGATCGCCACCGTCGACGAGAACATGGTGTACATGCGAGATGAACGGCTGTCGTGTTCTTCAGAGCGAGTTAGTAGTAAAAGAGGCCTTGATTTTTAGAACGACCATCCCCGCGAGGACACAGGAAAGAGGGTGCCCAACCAAGGACGGTGTCCTATGAGGTTGCGGGAGCGGGACAAGCTTGACACTGGAAGAAATTTGGTTTTGGTCGAATTTCATTTGAAGATAGCTCTCCCCATCATCGGTCTCCCGGGGTTTGGCATCCTTGGTGTTGCTGGGACATGCTTTGTAATGTAGTTGGCTCGGGGCGTTGGTTTGGGGCGTTGTTGGTGTCTCAAAAATTATAAATGGTCGCGATCTATGCTCAACACCGACCGTAGACACCCTCCGCGTGTTGTCAGAAAATCAGATATAAATGTGCAAAGCCCATACAAAAGGCGGGGAATATCAAAAGATCAGCAAAAATCGCATAACATCGGAGCCTGGCACCCTCCTGTTCCTACAGCGATGAGACACCCCGAAGCGCACCATCACCAGACAAGCATCTGTGACTACGGGTGCCGCTGAGTGCGCAGAAACAAAGTGTCCCGAAGAGCGCCATCGTGCTCCAAGTCGGCGAACTACTTAATCCGGAAAAATGGCTTAACGCGTGGTACAGGTGCTGGTCCCCAACTTGCCACCCCTGTTTCGAATCGGCACAAAAGTTAAACCAATTCGGCCGTCTGATCCTGCCGCCGATGGTAGATTTCTCATTTCTTGCCCGGTGGGCAAGTGCACGATGGGATAGATGGGCCGATGGCAATGAGACCACAACGATTGCTGTTGGAGAGAGGCCGGCCACACAACTCCTGCGATGGGGTGGTCTAACCTGCCGAACGATAGCTTCTGCAGTGACGCGGCCACATGACTGTACCTTTTTACTCGCTTAACAGACCTACCTGGCGTGGAGCACATGAGCAAAGCACCTGGTGTCGGGTGCCATTGAACAACGACAACAACAATCACTCAGCCAGGCCTGGTGCGCGCGACAATCCTTTACGAGGACGGCCATGATGGTTCTCCCGGCCATGATCTAACACATTGTCCAAGAAAGATGGACCATGCTCAACTCTGTTGTAGATTGAAGTTGCGAGGCTCGAGCATCGACTCTTTTCTCAATGCGACAACGCAATACCCACAGAAACTCTGACCACTGCCTTGAGGGTAAGTCACACAGCCCATACAGTACCAGCCCGATCATAAGAAACCAGAAATCGGGCCCAGGCTGAGTTTCTCATGACGGGTCGACGGTCGAGGAAAACACTTTCTTAAGCAACGTGAGGATTTAGTGTGGCACTCGTCGCCCAGCCTGGGCACTTTCTTAATTTTTGAAAAACACAAATCTCAGCCTCACTTTCTTGTAGGCAGCTCTCTTATAAGCGGGCCGGTACTGTATTCCTACACTTCGTTTTCTATCGATTCCTCCCCTGATTCCTCTGTGGGTCTTGCTTTCGGACAACACATGTCTGGCTATATCCGCTGAGCAGCGGTGGTGCGTCGCCTAGTTCGGGAGGGCTTGGTTCCCCTGCCTCAATTTCTTTAGCTCCGAACTCTCCGACGCTGAGGTCGGTCGACGAGATGTCACCATCACTGGAAAAACTCCGATTTTTCTCGATTTTGCCGATTTTTTTCGAGAGTATGGAACCACATTTTCCACACATTTCCCACAATTCCCGAAAATCGGGAAAATCAAGAGGTCGCTGTTTCGACCCCTCTCGATTCTCCCGATTTTCGGGAAACTTGTTGGAAACTTGCTGCAGTTCGGGCAGAGGCACAACACACCTCCGTCGTGCTCTATAGGTGTACGTGCACGTGTGCAGACTATCGCCACGGTCTGCCCAAGTTCATGGCTGATGGCAGGAAGCGGCGCCGGCTCGCGATGTTGTCCGACGCGAGCGCGCAGCGCCAGAGGCGATGATGCACCGACGAACTCGTCTTGTTTTTTTTCCTTGCTCCATACACCACCTCCTTTGCCTCTCGCTCTCGATTAAAAGCTAGCAGTTGCTACACCCACGCCCACCCGATAGAGAGACGTAGTTGGAGGACATACCCTTGAAGGTTTTAGCTTCGGAGGTGGTCTAGGAAGCAAGAACTAGATGACGTTGTGCACTGGTGCGGTGTGTAGAAAATCAACGGGTGCAGAAGGACTGCTTGGCAAAAAAAAACTGCTGTGTGGTGCATGCCGACACTTCTAGCTCTTGAGTGGAAGCATGAAGTTGCTGCCCACGTCCAACCGACTGAGAGGCGTTCTTGGAGGTCACGCGCGCGAAGGTTTCAGCTCCGGAGGTGGTCTGTGAAGCGAGAAATAGATCGCGCTCTTCACTGATGCGGTGGGCGCAATTCAAACGGGTTCGACGCAGGACCGTTTGACCAAAAATCTGCCGTGTAGGCACGCCGTCGCGTCTAGCTTTTGATTCAAGCAGGCAGATGCTACCCCGCGCCCACCCGACTGAGAGATAGATGTAGTTGGAGGACATGCCCTTGAAGGTTTTCGGAGGTGGTCTGTGATTTGAGGAATGGAGAGCGTTATACATTTGGTTGTGTGATGTTGCAGCCGAAACCAGGAAGTTTCCGCGTTCGTCGATAGGAACGGCTGCTTGTTTCCCCGAGTTTCGCGGAATCAGCAAAATCGGCACAATCGGAGTTTTTTTTTCCCGTTTAGAATGAGCCTAATAAGGACTCCATGTGATGGCGTCATTATCGCAGCTCATCGGACCTGGACTTCGCCCCGCGCCCTTGTGCGTCTGAAATTCGGTTGCAGTGAACCCCGACGATATCGTTTGCGATTCAACCAACGAGAGAGAGAAATATGAAATACGTACAACGGGGAGCGGAGAGCCGCTACACATATGATACCACCTTTTGGAAGTTTTCCCCCCAAATTCATCACCCAAGGAACGTTCCTCGGATTCTTTTCGTTCGAGTCCCAGATCGTGACTTTTGCGCATTTGCTGCGGTAGTCACATTGAAGCACCTACAAACCCAGCCGGCTTGGCAGCGCGAACTAAGCGCACCGCTGCACGTTGGGACTGATTGCTGATCTTTGTGGAGGCAAGACGTCACCAAAGTCATCAAGCAAAGCTCATCAGCAGCTCACATGTTCAGTAGTGGTAGTGACAGTTCCCCACACCCCTCGGAGCAAGGGCGGAACACATTCGCGTCGATCCTGCCGGGAGATGCCTCCGACGGCGCGGCGGTCGCTTTGATGTCGCCGATGGTCTCTTCGAGCTCTGGTAACAGCATCAGCCCGCCGGGCAGGGACGGCGCCTCATCTACTGTGTCATCACCCAACCCCACCCGCCAGAGTCGGAGTCGAAGCCCTTCGCACATTTGGAGCTGGCTCGGTGAAAGGCCAGCACGTCGCGGCGTTCGAAAGGCGAAGCCGGACAGCATGTCCGCCGCCGGAGAGCGCGAATCCTTCAAACCGAAGGGGACGTCTACGCCGAGGAGAGCAAGCATGTCCGCGCACGCCTTGGCCATGGACGCGGCGATACGGATAGTGGAGGAGAGAGGTGCCAGATTCGGGATTGTGAGGGAGGAAAATGACCCTTCGTGGGCGACGACTATCAACGACGAGACAACAGAAACCGCTTTCGCCCATCAGATATCACGCTCTACAGTGACGACCCCCGAGCAACGGCGGCAGCGTTCTCGGGCTTGGGTGAAGTCCCGGTAAGTTGCCGTAGTCAAAGAGGCTGTGAAAAGATGTACAAAAAGTGTCATTTTGCTGTTTGCCCCCCGCTTTGATCACAGCGCTAGCGTTGTCTACGGTGTTCGAAATGTGTCAGCAAATCAAAGATTGAACTCCCAAGTTTGAGCACTCGATTGCAGGTAAAAAAGTACGAAGTACGTAGGTTACAGCAGTGCTGTAGACTGACCACACTCTTGAAGGCTATTATAGTATACAAAGATCGCGCCATCTACCGCAGTAGGCAAAATCCTACAATTCTTGTGTTCCCGCCGAGTGAGTGTCGAACCCTGCCGATACGGCGTTCTTTGTTTCATCAATTTGTATCCGCCGAATCAAGCCGAACTACACATGCAAAACCACCCCCGTTGTACATCGCTCTGTACAAACCGTATCGTCACACATTTAGGTACACTTGCCTACTACAGAATCTCTGGACAATGTATTCACGGCCGCCCCCTCGAAAACCATACAATGTATTCCATGTTCGTGTGGTCTATACAATGTGCGTGTATGTATGCATGTCGCCAGTTCTTTTCTCATGTGGGGGCGGCAATGAAATAGAGATGACCAATCGGGAAATGTCATTTTTATTTGCAAGGTCGGCCATAAGATCAACCCTTGGGTATACTATGTTTCCTTATCGTTGGAGCATCGTTGCTTGTTCGCTCTTCGATACCATTTGGGCTGTTTTCGACTGCATTGCCGCATCGGAGAGCGGTCGGTCTTGCCAACACACTATCGATGTATGGTGTTTCCCGTGACTGCTACTGCTGTTCTTGCTGACAGTTTCTTTCGAGACCATCTCTTGCTTGAACCGTTATGGTTGTTGATTGTTCAAGCAAGATAGAAAAATGCTACTCCCACTGCGCCCCTTTCCTCTTCTCAGAGCCGGAGGTACCTCGCACCAAATTCGGTTGGGTGCCATGCCGGCGACCATGCCGGCTCATGTCCCGCGTCGACGCCACCGTCTGCGACAAAGCACCGGTGAAAACCGCGGGAGCGACCAGGAGAAGCACCTTTCCAACGAACGCGGCAGAAGCGGCAACACGCACCGCCGGTCCGCCAACGACAGCCGTGACTTGTCCAGCTCTGGATCGGAGGCAGACATCGGGAACCCCCATAACGACGGCGTGACTCCGGCCCGCTCCCACCGTTCCGCCAGAAGCATGGTGGACATGACGCCCGCGAGACCCCGCTCATTTCTGGGTGGTTCTGTCGCCGGGCGCGCGCCGCCGCTTCCGCGAGGCTCGGCAAGAGATGGGTACTCTGACACGATCGGGTTTATCGTAGGTGATGGGTTGAAACCGGCCACGGCAGCAGTGGATAAGGGGTCGTCACGGCCGTTCATGAGCTCAGACGCGCCGCTCTCTTCGCCGAAAAAAACGAAGGTCAACGAGGGTCCGGCACCAGGGCTGGACAAAAAGGCGACCGCTGCTCCTGCTCCTGCCGACCCACCCGCTGTTGCTTCCGCTCCTGTTGTTTCTCCTCTGGAACCGTCTCCTCACCCGTCGCCATCTCAGGCTAACCCCGACGAGCTTGGCATCCCTGCCGGACGGGTGGCCAGCCTGGCCGCCAGCACCAACAAGAAGGTGCGGGAGGGGATGAAGAACACGTTCGGGACGAAGAAGGCAAACGTCCTCTCGGCGACAGTGGAGGAAACGAACGAGAACGAGTGGAAGTTAGACCTCGCGGAGAATAAAGCCGTAGTCGCCAAGAATCAGGCCTTGCAGTCACACACCTTGGTGTTGGCACAGGCGGCCGCTCAGACGGCAGCGGCAGTATGGGCGCAACGGGAAGCCGAGTCGAAAGCGAAGCACGCAGCAGCGGCGCAGGCCACCCGGCAGGAGGCGGAGGCTAGGATGCTCGAGGCCGAGAAGGCGTTGGACAGGGCCAAGGCTATGCCCGCTGAGATGAGAGACCCCAACAGCAATGTTAGCACCACTACAAGCTGGCGTACGACGGACAAGGACGAGGCCGATGACGACTACATGAGGTACTTGAGGGCGGGTAGTGACGGAAGTACGGAGCCAGGAGCCGATGAGCATAGAGTGCTGCGTCAGAGGCGGGGGAATTGCTGGGAGTCCGCCGAGATGCTGTCTGAGGAAGAGGAGGAAAACGAGAACAACGGGAGGATGACGCCCCAGACGAGTGCTAACGACAACGCGGCGGCGGTGTCGCGCGGAGAGGGGGAGCAGCGACAGACGTCAGCTATCCACACGGTGAGTGTGAACACCACAGAGTGAGAGAGTTTGCGCAGCAAGGGTTTGGAGCTGCACGTTTAAGTGGACTTTGAGTTAATTTTGTTATTTGTGGATAAGGGCCTCCTCGGCTTTGGCTCTTGTTCTCCACAATGCTGAAGTACGCAATTAGATGGCGTTCGTTGGCTGCTGCTGATGTTACTTTTCTATGCCACTAGCACTTTTTGTTTGTTTTGGGCCAGGCCATTCTAACCTTTTCAAACTCAAGTGCTTAGATATTAAAAAGTTGCAAGGAAAGGGGAATGGTGTAGTGGGGCTGCTGCCTGTGTGTGATCCACGCCCGAGCATGACGCTCTAGCATTCCAGACGAAATTGGGTTGCGAGCGGTGTTGATTGTTTTGCAAAGTCCAGGTTGAAGAAACAATTTATTCTCACCTTTCGAATGCGTACACTGTATTTATTCTTGTTTTCGTCATCATACCAAAAGCCCATCACTCTCGACGACCTGGAAGCCAGCCTGGCCAACGTGTCCGTCTCTAGCCCGCCGCGCGATGTTCCGGCTGGTGTTGATCCGGCGGTAACCTGCCCTGCTGAGGGTAGTGGCTCTGGCCTGGAGTCGGCGGGTGAGGATGAGTGGTTCCGCCAAAAGGCAGCTGCCTTTTCGGGACTACACGAGTTATTAGTGCAGGATCCGACGATTGTGGGGAAGCTGAGGGAGCTCATTGCGGAGCCACGAGTTTCCTCTTCATGTCCTGGCACCCAGACTGACAGTACACTATGCTGTGAAGAAGGCTGTCAGGAAATGGATGCCTTGGTGAAGATGGCCAATGTTCTGCAAGACATAGCGGTGAGTCTCGTGCCCATACAGCGGTAATTTAATTCACCAGCCAAACGTGAACGTTGCTGAAAGGTCGGCATTGAAAGGGGGACATGTGTCCACATCGCCGACAAATGCCAGTTGAAGAATAATGGCGTACCTTTTTGGTCTGGTTTCATGTGGGTCTTTCAGGCTCATTCGTCGTTTCCATGCGAATACAATTGATGGCGTCGCCTCCAAATTGATTGAAGATGTTGCCTTGTATCCTCAAGGTGCCCCGAAACGGTGTACTTGACCAATGCAGCCACTCTTTCGGGAGGGACGAAATATTACGTTTCTCACGTATAGCGCTGCTCATTTGAAAATGACCTTGTTGTACTTCTACGTACGTTGCCCACTTGCACCCCTGTTTGATGAAGTAATTTTCGGTTCGGAACTTGCTTCACATACCTGTTTCAGCTGTTCTTGAATAGAGCACGTTGTTGCAGAAATAGTACAAAGCGTTTGTTGGAGGTGAGATGGTTCGGTATCCTGCCCCGGTCCAAGAGTTCCACGTTGATTGTACCGCACATTCTTACGGCGCTCCCTCTGTTGTTGCAGTCGAGCTGGGCACAGAACACTGAAATGCAGCGAAAGGAGCTTGCGCTTGAACCGGACTCTTTCCAGGGAGCATACTACACCACCCTGAGAGGCGGCATTTGCAGCTCGTATTACGCTGCTAGCGTAATTGCCAGTGACATGGTGACAACAAGCAAGACTGGCGCGATGGGCACGGTACGTTCGATTGAGTTGTTGGGTTGTTCACTGAATATCTGTCTGGCTTTCATACAACTTTCTTGCCGGAGTCTTTTCCACCTCGGAGCACCTTAACAACGAGAACTGCACGCTTCTGGACCGACGTCTCAAGACCATCGCGCACTGCTCCATGGTTTTTTTCTACCGACAGGCAGGGAAGGCGCTGAACGTTCTGGCTGGTATTGCCCCTGTCTTCCCCGGACTGAAGACCCTAGCGACCGGTCTGAAAGAAGGGGACCGCTTTCTCCAAACACGGAGCATTGTTAAGGTACAATGGGTTGTATGGCAGGGTGATGTCTTTAGCGCTTGCGTGTCTTTTCGCAAAAGAAGGGTGAATTATTGTGGAGGTCAAGGCATTAAAGGGCACAAGATCCTCACGTCTGTCGAACATTTGCGAGTTTGATGAGAACCCCCCGGGTTCGAATCTCCCCACCTACCTTTCGCATAAAAAAGTACGAACTAGAGGAACATCTGAGACGCGGCGGACGTAGCACCCGTAAAACGCTCAATATGAAAGAGAACGCCCACAAGAATGTGAACAAAGAAGTGAGGGACGATCGGTTTCCGGTTACCCCTAGATGCCACATATTGCCTCGCAAACAAGACGCGAAAAAAGAGGGGGGGGTGGAAGTCACCTTTGTGAAGGATACAAATCTTCCGACATCTGACGAAGACGTTTCCGGCTTTCCACGTTATGACTACTAATGTTTTTAGTCTGTCGGCGGCGCGCTGCTACCGCAGATCACGGAAGTGGCGGGCGACGTCATGGAGTGCAGCGCGCTGGCGAAGAGAGTAGCGTTGCGGCTAACGGATGCACTGGCCGATGAAACCCACCTTCGGCAACAACCGCGGGAAGACGTTTCTAGCGTGTCGATTGGTGAGGATATATATGGCGTATTCGGTGGTCACCCGGATATTGTGTTTTCCAGGGTGTGGTACAAACAAAACCCGTTCTCATACAAGGTGCACACACAGCGGGTACTATTGCGCAATGTATGCCCTTGGTGTATAGACTCAATAGAAGCGCATGCGCTCTTTCTCCCCGAACGAGCACTTCAGACGTTTGTTGGTGTCTTTTAGTGAACGGGTGGGGGCAAGGATGACTGAATCTACCAAGCTGGTTGCTTCCGGTGTGTATTCCTTAACTCCGAAACTTTTCGCACAGCTTGGGTGTCGGGTGAAGCGGGTTATTTAAAACCTGCCGCGAAAATCCGCTTGCCTTGTATCTTTGTGCCAGACGGGACTGGGCAGAGCACTGGCTTCGTCCCACCCAGTGCAGACGTGGATGGGGAAGATGCGATGGAGTGGTTCGTTGAGGAGATGTTGAGCAGTCATCCCACCTCGCATGGGGAGAGCAAGACTCCTTCAGCCAAGGTATGCTTGAGTGGAATCGAACCTACGCCAAATTCAGTCCAAGCTATTTGAAACGTAGTCATGCCTTGACGAACTACGAGATGATCTGCTACGACCTTTATTCGAACGTTTGTCTCGCTCTTTGATGCGCTTATTGGGTGCAACTGTCCTTTGACAGGAGGGACAGCGCATGGGTAGGTCTCACCTGAAGATGTTGCTTAAGGCCATGGGTCGAGGTTGTGTTCGAGGACAGCGCGACATCGACGCGAAGGTGATGAATGCATACACATGAGGTACTGCCTGACAAAAACAACGTGCCGCACCTCTCGCGGAAAGAGGTGTAGGATACTTTGCGCCGGCAACTTTCGGCCTGTGTGCCCACGCACGAGACTCTTACTTCTGCGGTGAGCTTAACGATCCATTTCCTTTTTTGTTAAAACTTGCGGCATTTACTTGAAAACAGTATGTCAGATTGGAAAAGAACATCAACTAAACCCACATGACCCACGCCTGTTTGACGAACTAGGTTGAGATTTTGGTCCGGGTTGTACTCCCTAGGCTCGAGGGAAAAGCTGCTTCAATTCCTGAAGGCACACACGAGCGCATCAGGCACGCCGCTAGCTCCGCGCACCCAGTGTTCGACCCACCAGGCATGGCCAGCCGTCCGATAGGTGGTAGCGGTGCTGTCGAGAGCGAAGCCCACGTGGCGGTGTTGATCGAGCAGGTGAATGCTTTAAATTCAACAACCGCTGAGCTGGCTGCAAAAAACGCCAAGCTGGAAGCAGGCCTTGATGCTTCGGCGGGAAAACACGCTGGGCTAGTTACACAAAATAAGAAGTTGGAAGCCGGCCTGAAAGATGCAAATGCAACATCCGCTGAGCTGGCTGAACGAAACACCAATCTGGAAGCCAAGGTGGAAGATGCAAAAGCAACAAGGGCCGGGCTGGTTGCTAAAAGCACAAAGCTGGAAGGAAGTCTGGAAGCTGCGAATGCAACAAGCATTGAGCTGGTTGCCCAAAATGTCGAGCTGAAAGCCGGTGTAGAGGCATCAAACGCAACCATCGCTGAGCTGGTTGCGCTAAAATCCAAGCTGGAAGGAGGTCTGGAAGCATCAATAGCAACAAGTGATAAGCTGGTTGCAAGAAACGCCAAGCTTGAAACTAAAGCGGAAGCTTTCGAAGCAACAATCGCAAAGTTGGTGGCACAAAACAATGGCCTGGAAGTCAGGGTGGAAGCATCAAGTGCAACGGTCGCTGATCTAGTTGCACAAAAGGCGAAGCTGGAAGAAGGTCTGAAAGCTTCGCAAGTAACAACGGTTGGGCTAGTTGCCCAAAGCACCAAGCTTGAGTTGGAGGTGGGTACTTTACGAGGCTTTACAGGCTAAGGTTTCTGAAATTGTCCACGGCTCGCCGCCCTCTATGCTCTGTTTCTTGTGTTGCACCGGCCAACGCGTGAAGTCGCGGAGAGCTACAAGATTTGTGCTGATCCTTGCGGGGCCCGCACGAGTATCCGGCTCGTTTCACAGCTCACATTCGTTGTCCGTGACACGAACATGAATATGTCGCAATGTGTTGCTTTGCAGATGAAATCCCTGAAGAAAAGGGTCGAGAAGCGCACGCCGGAGGCTGGTGGTTGTGTCGACAACGGTAAGTGCGATGGGAAACGTTGTGTTCGTCGGGAAATGGGAAGGACAAGATCATTGTAAGTTGTCTAGCTCCACTGCAGTGGTTGGTTGGTCATCCGTGGGACAAATTGACTGGAGGTCCCTAAGGTATTCGTCACGTATGCCGAACAGTTTGCTCCGAAATAGATCAATACCTACGATACCCCATGCCGCACGCGTGTGCATCGGTCACTTGCAGGGGGGGGGCAGGATCTCATGCAGCGGGCACGCGTGACTCAGACTGTGGATGAGTTTTGGGGTAGGGCTCAAGACGTAGGTGAGCTCTCGACCTGTGTCATTGCAGAGACTGTGGTTGTCCATGTCTTACATATTGTTGTCTATCATCACTAGTGACGGTGTCAACTCTTCTTTGGCAAACATGACGCCCCAAGCTGGCAAACAAGGAGGCCTTCTGCT